GCACATTTTTGCCAGCAGTACTATATATAGTTATATTCATCTTATTTAATTACTGTGATGCCTTTATTTTTAGCTTCTGCTCAAACGTATTGCATTATAGCTTAGGAATCTGGATGTGTTTCTAGTGAAACATGAATTAAAATATATAGTTTACAAATCATTCGGAAAATTCCCCCAAAACTATATATTACCTTCTGTAAAAGACAATCGTGAACACGCAATTGGGATTTTTTTTTCATCGAAGTGATCATGAAAAGTATCGTTCATCGCAGCACTTCTAAGTGTTTCAGTAATGTGGTTACACAGATTATTTGGCCAATGAATTAGTGTCTATGGAAAAAAAATCATGAAGATTGCTCTCCATGCATTACGCCTCGAACGCTCAGCCTGAAATAATTGAAAAAAAAATGTCTGTCTGTAAAGTCACTGTATAGTGACGATGATACTGGATGAAGATCGTCTATCTAAAGGATTACCAAACACGGATTATTTTATCTCAAATGAAAGGCTCTCAAAAGTTAAAACGTAATTTTTCTTTGTTCATAAATTCATTTTCGAATGCGTGGAAAAGTCTATGACAGCTTGATGGGGTATGTTCTCCGAGCAATTTTTTTAGGTTCGTCTTTACATTCAGTGAGAAAATAGAGCTGATTTACCGTCGGCCAATTTCATTAGCGGTGAGTAACCAGCAGTATTAGTAATCTTGTGTGTGTAATACGTCGGGTGCGCGTGTCAAGCATTCATAGTCAACTCAGACTGCTTCAATAATAGCTTGGCCCTACCCTGTGTAGACCAACGGATGAATCATGAATGGCTTCTGTTGAACACCCGTCATGTTATGGCTCCTGTTGAAATGAAGATTGAATTTACTAGTACGTGAGTTCATCAGCTTGTCTCTTATGGATTTTTTTTTTAAATCTCCAAGCTTAGTGAGGACCGATAACAAACGTGCGGTAATTAATAACTCCTTGCATCGTGGTTTAAATAAGGATTCAAAATTATTAACTGAAGTGAAATATAATCTCTGTCAGATTATTTGATGAACAAAACATTGCGCAGTACAATTTGTACGCCAGTAGAAAAAATTACGTTACTGTGGTTGTTGCACGTGTGAACATACGCGTTCAATCTCTTGCGAAATATCCCATCCTTTAAAGCTACAAGAACTATTTTAATGCGTCACGGCAACTGGTGTTGTCACGGCAATAACTGTTGTCACGGCAACTGGTGTTGTCACGGCAATAACTGTTGTCACGGCAACTGGTGTTGTCACGGCAATAACTGTTGTCACGGCAACTGGTGTTGTCACGGCAATAACTGTTGTCACGGCAACTGTTGTCACGGCAATAACTGTTGTCACGGCAATAACTGTTGTCACGGCAATAACTGTTGTCGCGGCAATAACTGTTGTTACGGCAATAACTGTTGTTCTGGTGATCTGAATTATATAAATTCGACATATGAGACTCGACACGTTAACCGTTAAATGCTCTGTGTTGAATTTTTGTTGTGTTGTTTAAAAAAAATTTTTGCCAAAATGAAGTAATAGTTGATGTTAGGCGTAGCAATTGTATCAGCATTGTAGCACGACGGCACATTTAAAAATAATGAAGGTTCACTTTTCAGACGGAACATTTACAGTTTCAACTCGATCAGAGGTTGAAGCAGCCGTAACATGCTCATTTGACGGTGCTTTTCTTATTTATTTAAATAATACTTTCAACTCGAGTTAAGTGACTTCTTGTTCGAGTGTTTTAGTTTCTGTAGCTTTTCTCCTGTCACTTTGTCTCTTTGTGATGCTAACGCTGCTTCTCTCGAGCCAGCTTCAGCAGGCTTGACAATTGAGACCTTCCGCCCCTTAATTGTGGGTGATGAATAATTTTTTGATTTAAGAAACTCTTAATAATTGAGACCTTCCAGCCTTTTGGAGGTATCTAAATAGCTGAAGCGCTGGTAAATTGTAGCAACTAACTCGAGTTATGAAATTAATTTAATGGTGTAAAGCTAGCTCCTATAACAGCAGCGGTTGTGGCCAAAATCTTGAGTAGTTGGCTGCAAGTGAGGTTAAAGTAGAGAAAAGACCCAATTCATTCAATTCGGTTTACTTATACAAGTGTTCTTTCTAAGAAAATCATAATTATTTATCATTGAGACCTTGAACTGGAATTAGGGTTAAATTTTGAGATTAATTAGGATATTTTTGTTAATAAAATTTTGTGCAAATAACTACTGGCAGGTTAGTGTTTCGGTATTATTATTCAAGAGCCTTTGCTTTCGACGGTGTCTAATTTATCGAAGCCAAATGTCAAAATTTAGTTCTTTGTTACCCATATTGTTAGTGAATAAAATGGTCAGTTCGTCGGAATTATTTTTTAATATTTAAGTCTCAATTAATTGGTATTTCAGTGGGGAAATGCCTAAGGGAAAATCCGTAGAAAACAAATACCTCAAAACGCCTAGGCCGTTTACCCTCACAGAAATCAGTGAGTCATTTTCCGGATACCAATGCTCGTTTTAATTGGTCTTCTGTCCTTGGATTATTCTGGCCCTATTTTACCCAACAAATGACGTCTCAGTGATACGTGCAAAAGTATATTACTATTCGAATAGTATAACACACTCTTATGAGTGTTAAAAGTGCTCCGGAAATCCGTCTCTCGTCAGAAGTGGTTTTATCTTCCCCTTATTTTTAGGTAAATACTATAATTTATCTTGTAATTGTTGATAAAAACTTGATCATGATGACTTCGAATAATCGAACTTAAATAATTAAGATGTTTTGGGCGAGGACTGTGATCGTGCATTATTAGCGATGGTCTCGCTTACGAGACAGCTTCTCTTCCCAGCCCATTTCTGTTTTATATTTAATGCACTAAGTAGTTTTGTATAGTTTTTGTTTAGGAATTATGCACAAGTTTCGTCTCAATAGTTCCCAGTGCGCATTATTCGCTATCTCCTGCGTTATCACCAGCTACTGGTGTCATACATTAATTCTATTATTTCTTATCATGGTTTTAATTTCTTTCTGAATATTCATTTTCATACGTCTGTGCTGAAACATTATGTTTGAACCTTGCCAGACTGCATATGTACAACTGTACACACACTCCGTACGAAAGTAAAGTTGTAAAATAATACACTCTAACGAGGATTATAAGTATTCGGTAGCGAGCCAATGTAATCATGTGATCGATATACTGTAAGTATATAAGATTACATGTTATCTTCACATGCATGGGTGAGATAGTGGACGTTTACAGTGTGACTCACGCAGTCATGAGTGGCAGTGGTTTCATTGCGTGGTCTTCTTTGCGACAGAATTTCCCGATATTTCGTTAAAATATTATGTTCACAATTTTAAGTCGGTTGTTAAGTGGTAGGTGATTTACAACAAATTCTTCACATTGCATGCAGCTATTTATGATTATATTCCTTGGTTCAAAATTGTCTTGTGCGAGTTGTGTTCACTTACGATCAGAATCGTCATTCTAATGCGACAAATCATTTATAGATGTAGACCTAAAACCCTTCAAAAGTTCGTAAAAAGTTGTTTATTTATGAGGGCCAATGTATTGGAACTCCAACAGACCAAACGAGCATATATTGCAATAAAAAATAGACCTTAGATTTCCAAGAAAAAGCTTAAAAATGCAAAAGCACATCAATTCGATGGACTAAACATTTTATCCGAAACTATTGCTCCTGTGTTTCTGCTGCAGTTTAGTTTGGGACAAAATCTTTAGTTCATCGAATTTATGTGCTTCTGCATTTTTATCTATTTCTTGAAAATAAAGGTCTATTTTTTACTGTGATATGCTCGTTTGGTCTGTTAGTGTTGAATCTACTCGAACGGTATGCGTCAGATGGTATATGATTAGAGATTACAGTGCTAAAGCATTCGCGAAATGAACATTGGCAAGCGAAAACAAGCAACCGTCCATTTCGTAAATCAAAGAACAGCGTTCATCGTCCATGTAGGGTTAGGGTGGTGGAATCGTGTGGATAGTTTCTGTACTTGACACCGAATCGTGTTGATTGTTTCGTGCATAACCTGTTAGTGTCATCTCAGAAATGGTTAGTAATAAGAGTGTAATGAGCTATTTGATTTATTAAATTAATTCAATTTTGAGCTTCTACGTTATCAATGACATATATCCTGATGTGGTTTGAATCCCACATTATTTAGAACGCGGTATGAAACATGAATCATAATCATAAATCCCGTTTCGTTATATATTGCTAATTGCTTCTATTGCTGCACATCGGTCATTTTTGGTATTATGGTTAAAAATTAACTTATATGATGAGAATTCCATGTAAATTCGTTCTTAAAACGAGCTGATTCATTTACTAAATATTTAGTTGGAAACTGCATCGTATATAAGATAATCTATGACATATGTAGGCTCGGTTCTCATCTTTCTTAATCCAAACAAGTGTCACAAGGGACCTGGATTCTCATGATTCCCTCTGTAAATCTCAAAACGATAATGATCTTGAAAAGTTCCTAAGAAATCGATAAAATTTATGTCTTTAATCTTTTCAATCGCGTATTTTACCGCATTGTTGTTGATAATTTTGTGTTTTAACTCCCTTCTCGTAAACTTGTTGTCTAAACTTAATGTGTATATTGTTGTTAGGCGCAATGTTCCCTTATATACCATTAAAATAAAGTGCAAGCCTTGCAACATCATCGGAACGCATCAACAGCTGTACTGCCTTATAGCTCGTCTCCATGCATGTGTTTGAACGCGCGTCTTGTTCGGCGTCGGGAGAACCTTCGTCAATTATGTGGCTAAATAAATACTTTATAAACTCTTAGTTATTCGCCGATTATTTAACTGTGGTTCTTATATTAACGACTGAGAAAATATCTCGGAATTAGGTTTAAATGTTTGAATATAGTAATTTATTGTATAGTAATGAATATAGTAATTTATAGTAAAATAAAAGGTTTGAATTCAAGTAATTTATTGTTGTTTCCTCGCTTGTCATCTAAGGAACCTCGTGAGGAAAAGCGGTTGGGATTTGGCGAGGTGGGCGGAAGCGGAGAGGAAGCTGTGGTGCTGAGGAGGCCCTCGAGAGCGGCGACCTCCTCCTCCTCCCCCTGCCACGGGGCTACTGACGACATCATCGTCGAGGACATCTGCTCTGAGCAACCCTTTGCGGGTACCTTCATATTCTTCCTCTTTCTTGTTTTGTACAATCTTGTCTCTTACATTACACATTTCTTGCATATATATAGAATATATATACATATAAGAATATTGCATATATATAAGAATATATATTATATTCTTTCTTGTCTTGTACAATCTTGTCTCTTACATTACACATTTCTTGCATATATATAGAGAATACATATATATATATTTATAAGAATTTATATTATATTCTTTCTTGTCTTATACAATTTTGTCTCTTACATTACACATTTCTTGCATATATATATAGAGAATATATATACGTATAAGAATATTGCATATAGGTATATAAGAATATATATTATATTCTTTCTTGTCTTGTACAATCTTGTCTCTTACATTACATATTTATTACCTGGGTATTCATCTCTTACATTACATATTTATTACCTTGGTAATCGTTATATTAACTCGTGTAAAAGGATATAGGAATGAACATCGCAGTCATTCAAACTATTTTGGCAATTGTATGAAAATAGTTTTGTATAAACATTGTAAGTGAAATTGTTAATTATTCCAATTATTTTATTCGTAAATAAAATCCTAGAATTATTTTTAATGATTTGAGTTTGAAAGCTTTATATTTTCTGAAAACATGCGCTCAGTTTGAATGTCATGGTCATCTGAAGATTTGTTATTCAGATCCTGTTACCTTTTGAAATTTTATGCGCGAATTTTCGATCGAAACATTCACTTGTCAAAAATTATTATATAGTTGATCATATATGTACTATATTGGTTTTCATTTAAGCAAATTCAACGCTGCAGATTTTTAAAACAGTGTGATGATGGGTGATTACAGTGATGATTGCGTGTGAGTGATGATGGGTGATGATGACGGTGACCATAACCACCACACTCTGCATACCCCCACACTCTGCGTACTCTTATCAAGAACATATTAGTAATTCACTTTTATTTAAGAAACATGTTTTTGTTGAACTAAATTAGACTAGGTATATATATTATGTACTAAATTATACTAACATTGAATAAACTATAATCAATAACTATGAGTTGTGTGCTGCTAAGGTCTGATGCGGGGCAGCGGGCTGATGGAGTGGGCTGGCGAGACCCCCGTACGCCTCCAGCCCCCCACCTACTCCCCCCCATACCCCCAACTCGGTCAGTAGATCAGTAATGTACAATTATTTTATTTATCATATTTCATCTACTTGGGATTTATAATCGGTGAGAATATTACTTAATAACGTTACTCGTGTTCAGCCCATGTCATGTATTTCCGTTATTTATTCACTATAAGTTAGATAAATAGTCCAGAGAAAAGTCTAAGCATCGGAGTTCTAATTTTTTGACAATCAAGCAATATTAACTCGTTGATACACTCAGATAAATAAGCGAGACTTGGTCAAGATAGTGATGCATATTTTGCCTTTCTGTGAGTCATCCTGACACAGTTTGGCAGGCAAAAGAGCGTATCAAGGCCTCGTGCTATAAGTGTCACTATATAGAAACTACCAGGTATAAGATTTCTAGTGTGGATATACATACAACTGTTTTCTTGAGTTATTTCACTCTTTGTATAATTTCTTGAAACTATTTGTTTGCTGGAAAAGATGCACTTGTGCCAAATTTTAAAGCCAACTGTGTTTGGCTTTACTCAGCTTGGTCATAAATGCGCGATTTCCGTAAAGTGCTACACATGTTCACTCGTACTGCATGTGCTTAGTCGTGCTGCACATGTTCACATGTGTGCTGAACATGTTCACATGTGTGCTCCATATGTTAACATGTGTGCTGCACATGTTCACATGTGTGCTGCACATGTTCACATGTGTGCTGCACATGTTCACATGTGTGCTGCACATGTTCCTGCACATGTTTGTTGTACATGTCAGTCCCACGTCAATAAAGAAAGTTTTATCCCTACGACCGCTCAAAACTGCGGCCTCAAGTTTGAATTAGTTTGTGTGCAGAGTTTGTTCTGTGGTCCTAGGAGCCCTAGGCGACCTGCGAGGCCATGCTCCAACTTGAGGACTTTATAACAAGCCTCCTATAGTTGTTTTGTGGGAACATTGTTGCTGCTAATTCTGGTGATACTGGTGATACTTGTGAATACGCCCGATCTAATTTTTCTCAGTGTTTTGATGTAATTACTCTTATTGATTTATGGTGGCATTTGTCAACCTCACTGAAAAAATCAAAAAAATCAAATAAATCAAAAAAATCATGAAAAAATCAAAAAAAATCATTGATTTTTGATTTTTTTGATTTTTTTAAAAAAATCAAAAAAATCGCCAACCCTGCTCGTGTTAAGCCCATGTCACGGATTTATTATTATTTTTTTGTTCACTATAAGTAAAATAAATAGTTCGGAGAAAAGTCTCAGAATTAGAGTACTTTTTTTTGAGAATCAATCAATATTAACTCGTTGCTACACTCAGATAAATAAGCGAGACTTGGTTAAGATAGTGATGCATATTTTACCTTTCTGTGGGTCATCCTGACCCAGTTTGACAGGCATAAGGCCTCGTGCTATATAGATAAGTGTCACTATATGGACACTACAAGGTATAAGATTTTTTTAGTGGATATACATACAACTGTTTTCTTGTGTTATTTCACTCTTTGTATAATTTATTGAAAATTTTTGTTTGCTGGAAGATGCGCTTGTGCCAAAATTTCGTTTTTGCTGCTTTGATTTCTCAACTGATTAAGATTTTGAGTTTTTCCACGATTTAGAATGTGTGTATGATTTTTAAAATATATTTATTGTTTGGCTTTACTCAGCTTGGTACTTTTACTTTACTCAGTGCGCAATTTCCGTAAAGTGCTACACATGTTCACTCGTACTGCATGTGCTTAGTCGTGCTGCACGTGTTCACATGTGTGCTGCACATGTTTACATGTGTGCTGCACATGTTCACATGTGTGCTGCACATGTTCACATGTGTGCTACACATGTTCACATGTGTGCTGCACATGTTCACATGTGTGCTATCGTCTGCTCCTGTTGTCCAGTAATGGTTGTAGCTGCCGTACTATTGTAGCCAGTAATATCTATTTCCTACAATACATATTATCAAATTGTTCAGTAATATTTATAGTAATTGTCGACGTAGGTTCCAGCATCGTCGGCGAGCGGCTCTCGAACGCTGCGGGGCGCGGTGCCGCAGAGGAGGCAGAATGGGACGAAATTGAAGCCGCTCTCTGCCGCGTCGTCGACGATTTGCCTTCGTCGACGACGGTGCTCATGGCCGACGTTGAGCTGGAAATTGAGCAGAAACTCGGTGAGTGTGGTCAGAGTTTGACATAATTTGTACTTGGTTACGTGCTGTTGCGTAAGCTGTAAATCAACCCGTTAACGCTATAGTGCGCGTCTGTATTATACCTGCTTTCTCAATATTTGTATTATTCCCTTTCTTGGTTCTGAAAGTATATCAGCGAAGTGTCGCTGAAACCAACATCATAATTGTGCTTCTCTAGAATATAAATCATTATACTATCTGACTTGTTTCGAACGAACAGAAAACCCCCAAAAGAAATGACTTCCTAGCTGTTTAAAATTTAGAACGATTTTCGTCACGATCGTTGAGCAGGCCTGAGTCTGTCCTCGTCCCAGCAAGGCCTCGGTATCCTGGAGGACGTGACAAGAAAGACCGCCGCCGCCATCAGCGATGCCGACGTTGATGTAGGCACCCACAACGGCGATGTAGCCCTCCAGCACGCGTCGGTGCAGGAGTGGCTAGACGCCCTGCATCTGCCGCAGTATCTCAAGACATTCATGGACAGCGGCTACGACAACATTAACTTCATGGTAGGCTTACATGAAGTTATTGTCCACGTTATTGTGAAGTTATTGCCACGTTTTGTTAACGTTATTGCTCAGGAGCATAGATTAGAGTATTATAATAACCAAATAAAAACCTAATAACACACAGAATATGTATAAGTCGTGCTATGAGGAATAAGTGGCCGCCTTTTACTAAGTGTTTGAATGACGACCGATCTGAATAAAGTTTCTGTCGCTAGTTTTTTATTGTGCTGGGTTTCAGATCACTAAAACACCAGTTCATGTAGATAGAACATAATTTTATTTCCGTAAAGAACATTTTAAAAGCAACACGTTTAAAATAGCATGATAAGCGTAAGGGCAGATTCATGATCAATACACTTCTTGATAAAGCTTCTAAAGCACAGCCACACAATATAGCGGTAGGGTACAAGATCTCTAGGATAAGATCTCTATAGGATCGCTCTATCGCTAGGGAAGTAATAGAGCGAAGTGAGCTTATGTCCAACCTCACATATATATTAGGGCTAGCGGGAGACTTAACCTCTAATTACTACGTAGCTGCTGCTGAAGTAAGATCGGACATCAATGTTATATATATATACGCAAGTGAATACGACAGACGTGGCTGTACAATTATACCTCAGATATGTACGAAAATAAATACACTTGAAATGAATAAATTAATGCGACCAATAGTGGATGATTTCTATTGTTAACCAATTGTAGGTCTTTGCAATGATCATCTTTCAGCTTGTGTCCTTAAATCAGTTTGAATCACTAACAATATCTTGCCTATAACGGCATGGTTCGAAGTTCATCCTAATATAGTGGGTATGTATGACCCACTTTTATTACGTACCTTGCCTCTAACGGCGTGGTTTTATCTTATATTACTACTAAAATAAATAATGAACTACTCGCATTGACTCTACTGGAGTGGTTTTAGTTAGTTCCCTTTTACCAAGTGTAACGTTACTGCGTCCAGAACGGTGTTCTGAGCGAAGAAGACTTGTCGGCGCTGGGCATCAAAGATGATGCCCACGTTCGGGCTCTGATGGCGGGTCTCGCTGAGCTGCCCGCTAGCCTGCCCCCCGCCAACAGCCTCTACAAGGTGCCCAGGACGGTGCCCGAGTGGCTAGACTCGATCGAGCTCCCACACTACGCCGAGATATTCTCCAAGAACGGCTTTGGCAGCATGGAGCGCGTCAAGAAGATATGGGAGGTGGAGCTATGCATGGTGCTGGAGGTGAACCAGCTGGGGCATAAGAAGAGGATACTCATGTCCCTGGGTGACAGGCCCATTGAGCCTCCACTGCCTCCGACGCTAGATCCCAAGGACCTCAGCGTGCATCTCACGCAGTTGGTTGGTACTGGTTTGCATTCTGGGGTTTTTAGCGGGTTGGTGAGTTTTGGTTTGCATTCACCTCACTCACTTTTGTTGCCCGGTGCATTTTCACAGTCCTTTTTGATACATAATTTATTAATTTAAATCTTTACGTCAGTCATGAGAATTAGGTTGATTAAGGTGATTAATTTATTTATCATACATCAATTTGTTTGTGCTTTTTTAGTGATCCTCCTTGGAAAGTTACAATAAAGAGTGCTCGGTATACTGATACTAACTATTAATTCCGTCAGTCCGTGACTTCACGTTTTCGTGGACGAGAAAATGCGCTCTTTAAGTTACTTGAATTACGGTGCTAAATTCACACTGATGCTCACTGCGCTGTTCCTTTTTTGCCAAAGAACGACGACATCACGGAGCTGAAGGAGCAACTGTTCGCCGACCTGCCGTCAGCCGTGAGCAGGGAGCGCCGCGCCCCTGAGTCCACCAACACCACCATCAGGCGCTCCGGCAAGAAAACCCGCGCTCCTCTGCCCCCCACCTTCATGTCAGTACCTCGAACTCAATGAAATACGTGTGTGTCGTACAGAATAGAATAGATGTGTCGGCGCTGAAAAAATAGACCCATGGCCTTTTGCCGATTCTTGTACTTTTCGTGAGTTGTTAAGAGGAACCCTAATAATTGGCCTTTTGAAAAGATCTTTTCGAAACTGACGCTGCTTTGAGATAGCGACTGAACTAAATACCAGGTCCCCCTCAGGGGGGACTTATGACGCGTCTTAGTGCTCGTCAGAAGTCCTATGGGATTTCGCGCTCCTAGGAGGATTGTTCCTGAGCGCCCCACCGCTGGGCTCGCGGTGTCTGACTTGAGGGGTCAAGCTATTATGTATAGGTAGGATTTCTCTTCTGTCTCTCGTGCGGGCGGCTGACGTCCCGTGTAAGCGACATTTTATTCGAATGTCTTCGTTTCTGTTGCTGTTCACCTGTCCCTTATTATACTCTCGTCTCTTTGCGACGCTTTCACTACTCCTTTCAAGCCATCTTCAGCGGCTTTGCCACTTAAAACCTTCCGCCTCTTGTGGATGATAAAAGATTTTTTGGTTTGCGAAATTTGAGATCATATACCTAGTGAAACTTTTCGCTACGTTGGGATGTTCATTCTTGACTCCCTCAGCTAGTTCCCTTAATAACTGAAGCGCTAGTGAACTATTTGTAACTATTATCTATATAACTTACGTAGTTGTCACAGTAAGTTAAGATCTTGGTTGAACTTCTCATTTACCTCAATCTTAGCTATCCAATTCAATAAATGAGCCAATAGCTCTTCTTTCTGATCATTGCCAGTAGTTGAACCTCCTTTCTCTGATGACTGAATAAACTGTCGATATGGTAATAATGAGTGGTTGTTTTTAACGGGCTCAGGAGTTGAACCTCTTTTCCCTGATGACTGAAAGCTCTGTCGATACATG